GCTTTTTCAGACCTACCTCTCAGGTCACCTTCCGTGAGGGCTTTTCTGATCATCCTCCTTGCTACTCTTCCCTTTAAATTCCTTAAGTACTTTGTGTATTTTCTTATTACGTTAATATTCTCTCTGATTTTATATGATAGGGTTCATACTTATCTTTTCTAGGTGTCCACCTTTTTAATCTTAAAAGGACAGTGTCTTACACATCTAACCAAGTATCTTGCAACTAGTATCTGCTCAATAAATATTTGTTGAATTGTATTAAATTTAAATACTTAGTTTAGGTTCAAAAGTAATATTTAAATATAATTATTGCTGCCGGTGAAGAGAACAGAAATAATTCCTTTTTTAAATGTTTGTCTTGAGAGAGAAAGAGAGCAAGAAGGGGTAGAGAGAAAGGGAGACAGAGATCCCAAGCAGGCTCCACACTGTCAGCACCAGAGCCTGACAGAGGGCTCGAACTCACAAACTTTGAGATCATGACATGAGCCAAAATCAAGAGTTGGACACTTAACTGACTGAGCCACCCAGGCGCCCCAGAAATAATTCTTAAGTGAAGAATTCACTTCTGACCCTGGCACTTGGTAAAGTCAATGCCAGTGCTAGCAAGTATTTGGAAACTTGTATGTTCATATGCAGCTTGATAATATTCCCTAAAGTGACCTTTGACTCTGGGTATTTAGGATTTGTTACTTTTGTTTCCTGATGATGTTTTCATCTATAAGAAATGAGTTCTAACTCCCTGTCTTTGGAAGTTTGTTTTCCTTTCTCTGGGTATTAGCAACAAATAAAATAAGATTCCCTTTCATTTGCAACAGAAGGCGGTTGGGGGTTGTTCAACTTGAGTCGGAGGTAGAGTCTGGGAGAGATCTAATACTCTGCTCTTCCAGAGCAAAGTTCCTTTGTGATATAATTTGCAACTGTGAGCAAATACTTATTGTTATGTCTACCTTCCATATTGTATTCTTCTCCACAGTGCTTACTACCTTCTGACATACCAAGTATTTTGTTTATCTTATCTTTCTACCCTACAATGTAGACTATGAAAGCAGAGATTTTGATTTTGTTCATTGCCATATCCCTGCCTGTAGAAGAGTGCCTACCATGTAGTAGGTGCTCAATAGATATTTGTTCAATGACTAAGTAGATCAGTTTGTCTTTGGGAATTCCTCCAATTTGTTGGCTAAAATTTAGAAAGTTTTGTTATTTTAAATATAGGAATGGGGCGCCTGGGTGGCGCAGTCGGTTAAGCGTCCGACTTCAGCCAGGTCACGATCTCGCGGTCTGTGAGTTCGAGCCCCGCGTCGGGCTCTGGGCTGATGGCTCAGAGCCTGGAGCCTGTTTCCGATTCTGTGTCTCCCTCTCTCTCTGCCCCTCCCCCGTTCATGCTCTCTCTCTGTCCCAAAAATAAATAAACGTTGAAAAAAAATTTTTTTAAATATAGGAAGTAAAATCCTGAGGAAGTGTAAGGCATAGCTTGGAAGAGTAGAGTTTACCTGTATGTTTTACTGTCTCTGGGTTTTACATTTGTCTTTGAGCAGACATGATTTTAATATATTTGTGTGTTATTGAACGCAAACAAAAGCCATTCCTACCACCACACCATATGATTGTGTCTCAGTCTGGCTAAAATCTAAGAAAACTGTTTATCATAACAAAATCTAATGGAAGCTTGCTGGCATACCTCTTAAGCGTCAGAGGGTAATAAGACCAAAATTATAATAAAATTCATTACAGGGGCATTAGCTCATTAAAAGCACTTCACTTTGTTTGTCTTAGGTGCTAATTTTAACCTTGAAAATTGGTCAGATCGAGCTTCTGATATTGATTTGGGGTTATCAGTTTTCTGCATGTACAAGTAATTCGATTTGAAATGTGTTTTAAGCCTGAATTAAAAGTACTTAGTCACTGGTGACTCATGGTGAGAAGTTTTTCCTTTTCCCTGCTGGAACATATGCCTTTGCCTCCAACCTGGCTTTTTTGAAACCTTGAAAATATAAAGAATCCTACTTTTATGTACTAGGTTCTGGAAAAGTTCCTCTAGGTTTAAGGTGGTGGCCTTAGTGACAATATTTTTTAATAACGAGCACTACCATTGACTTTCCAAATATCTGTACAATTTTTTTACTTTATGGGAATTTTCTCATCATATATGAAATTGTCAAAAGTCTACTAGATAGTGTGTGAATGACCACAAGGACTTTGTTTTGTTCATTATTTTTTTTAATAATTACTTTCGTGTTTGTTTATTTTTGAGAGAGAGAGCACAAGTAGAGGAAGGGCAGCAAGAGAGGGAGATATAGAATCTGAAGCAGGCTCCAGGTGCTGAGCTGTCAGCACAGACCCTGACGCATGGCTTGAATCCACGAACCGTGAGATCATGACCTGAGCCGAAGTTGGACGCTTAACTGACTGAGCCACCCTGGCACCCCTGTTTTGTTCATTATTGTGTTCCTGGTGCCTAGAACAGTGCTTTGTACAGAGAAAGCAATTTACATATTCGTTGAGTGAAGTTACATATATTCTTAATGATAGCACATCTTAGAAAAATAATGAAAGTCTGTTGATGTAAATTTTCTCCAGCCCTGTTGAATTAGCTAATCGTCCATTTACAATCAACCAGGTTTGGGAGGCTCTTGAATTAGCCCAAGGTAGTTCTGCCCTAACAGCTCTTAGCATTGATTGTGCCAACCTGAAATCTCCCTTAGTGGTTCACTTGCAAAAGGAAGAGTAAATCGGCAACACCCATAGGCACTTGCACCTGTGGGAACCAATGGGCGTCCTAACAGGAAATGCTTTCAGCTTGCAATACCCATAGTAATGTGCAGCACCCAGGTCATGCTGTTTTTATCTGCAGTTCCTTATTAGGACTGTACAACGCTTCTTGAAGTTTTTAAATTTATGTTTAAAAGAGAATGATCTTTAAATTTGAGGAATAAAATGTGAATGGTTATTTTCCTCTTCCTCATTATCAAGGAATTGGTGAGTTGTCCTTCTTTGAGTTCTTTACCTTCTAATCTTGCGTCCCCTGAAATGTTCCTCTAGCACATGGGGAGAGGGGGAATGGAGAGTACATAAGTGTAATTAAAACTTACACTAGTATTATTATCAATAATAATGGGCAGTTCTAATATTTACAGGATACCATAATGGTAGGTATTGATAGAATTTCATAGATTTTTACCTAAGATTTGTTTAGCTCGAGCGAGTTTTCCTCTTTTGTAGGGACTGGGGAAAAAATGTCAGGGAAAGTTTTTAGAAACTTCTTCCCAAAATGTCAAAACATAAAGCTGTATACATTAATGTAATGCTGTTAACGTTAGCTATCTGACCAGGAAGTACTTTCTTTAAGCCTCATGTATAAAACTGTGTCTATAATAACTTCCTTTCTCGGAATGAAGGTGCTGATAGCGTGGTGGTGTTCTTACAACTTAAGCTGAGCTCAGTTTTATTTTTCCTAATGAAAAAGTGGCAGCTTTTTAAAGAGAGCCATCTCCGGGGCAATCTTAACTTACTGTTGGAGCTAAATAAAGAATTTTTAAAGTATTTAATATGTCGGATTGGAGATGCAGGACGTGCATTTGAGAAGATCTACTGTGAGTAAGCTTCGTGTTTTGTTTTACATTTAGCGTCTTATAAATATGGTTTGTGTCTAAACGTTGTTAATAAACTATTTCTTGAATTTCGTGTGAATATTTATGGCCTTAGCTCAACGTCCAGCTGAGAGTAATCAACCTCAAATATCACTGGATTCCTGTGCTCTATTTATTTTAATTTGTAGTTTGATATTCTACAAATAAATAGTGGGAATTTTTTTCAGAAATTGTTTTTTTTTTCTTCTAGATAAGTGAGGTAAATGCTGAGCTGCAAACAAAATATCAAAATCTTGTCAGAAGAGTCTTTTAAACAAAAATTTTAAATACAATGAAGGCTATTTTTGTTAAATGGGTGTAGTTTGTGCTTGTGATTGATATTCCTGTAAAACAGTGTTTCAAAATGAAGCTACTCAAAATGGCACCCTATTCATCCTAGAGATCTTAAAAAAGATCAAGGCCATGTCCTAATTTTCTTCTTTCCCAGCAAGGGAAAATAGGATAGAAAGCAGAGCAATTTCTTGAATGTTATACCAAATTTACAGACAGAAGAGTCAGAAGATTTGATCACATTTGCCTTGTTTTATAATTTTTTTGTTTTGTTTTAGTACATAAGGTTATTTACTTATTAAAGTATAAAAATATCTTATCCATGAGGTAATAATTTATGGGACTACTCTAGTCCATAAAATGAAATTAGATAAAGTAGGAAAGTAAATAATTTTTTTAACAGCTCGTGGTTTTTATGTTGAAAAGTTAATGCAAAATATTTTATAAGGCAGGAAAGCTACTTTAATAATTTCTTTACCAATTTCACTGGGCTCTTAGAACAAGGTTTAAATGAAATGTATATAATCCTGACTTCCAAACTCTTAATACTGTATGTGTTAGATGTGTAAATTAAAGTCTAACAATTGTACATAAGGATGCATTTTCATTCGAGAAGCATTGCCGTGGATGTGACCAATTTGAGGCCTCTAGCCTTCTGATATATAAATAAGGAAATTAAAACTTTCAAATAATCTTTGAAATGTGATGGTATAGAGCATGTGGGTTTTTTTTTTTAATTTATGAACGTTAAACACTTTACAGTTTATGTTTCAGCTTTTATAGATAGGGAGGCCTTTTATAGATTGTTATATCAGCGCTCCACAAATATCCCAGTCATCGCTTGCATAGGGGTGGGGCAGAGGAAGTAGGTGGGGCTTCACGGTAGTGACAGATTATTGCAGATTATATGGCTGCCTGCCAAAGCGCCACTGGTTGGAAGAGTGGAAGTTACTAACTGCATCTGTTAATTTGTACATGTTTTATTTGTAACCATTTAAAACTGCTGGTTTCATACACAGGTGACAAATGTTAAACTTTGAATCACTTGACATCTGCTTAATGTTCAGTTCTTTAGTTTACCTTGGTCGTATTCCTTGCACAGTCTGCCAAGATCACACTGACCATTTTGCGGAAGACCGTGTGTTAGCAGAAAAAAAGGGGAGGGGCGCACAGAACTTTAAACGACAACTGCTTTACTCTCTAGTTAAAGTGTTGCAGGGTTAAAATGTAAGGTGTCCCATCATGCTTAGGCAATTTATATAAAATCCTAATAAAAACAGTCATGCCTTGTGAATGAGTTTGTAGTTTTCGATTGTATTGGTTCGGTTTGAAATTGAGATTCCTACTGTTGCAACATAAAAGGAAGCTTTGTAGAGGAAATATGACATCTTTGCCCAGATGCATAAAGAGGGAATTAACAGTGGGGAGTTATTATTAGAGGGGTCTTCTTATGAATATATTTTATGTACTGAGAAGTATCTCTCAAAGTTTAGTTTCTATTTCAGGGTCACTGGCAGAAGTTAAATAGGTTGCTCAGTTGGATAGTCTAATAAAAAATTACTTTTAAAAGCATTTTGATGTCACCAACCAGCCTAGTTAGTCTTGATCTGGCTGATCTCAGTGATAGCATTTTTTAAAAATGTAACCAAATTGAGAAGATATTGAGATGCTGTGAATACCATCAAATAGCAATGTAATATAAGTGTCCTTCTAAGAGAGAGGCCAGTTAACTTCGTTCCCTAGCAGTGTCCCACTGTCCTTCAGGAATAGAGTGCACTGTTTTCAGTATAAGGAAAGCTTAGAAGTGAGTCAAGGAACCTGTCCACTTGTATCACTGACAGTTATTAAATGTTCCTCCCTAACTCTTTTACACAGTGAGTAACATGTCCAGGTTCCTTATATCTGTTACTTTTGGTTTCAGTAACATATGTTTGGGGTTTGCAGTATAATAATTAACAAGAGCATATCAGATGAGCATGTCTGCCACATGCAGCTCACTAACTTTGTGACCTTATACAAATCCCTTAACTCTTGAAGCCTTGGTTTCTTCAACTGTAAAATGGACACAATCATAGTACCTACTTTAGGGATTGTTGTGAGGATCAAGTGAAATTATGTATTAAAGGAACAAGTTTGACTGCACGTTGTAAAAGAAGAGCTCGGCGAATGATAGTAGATATGGTTACTTTTGCCGTTTTGGGACATTTCAGTTCTTTTTCACAGTTCTACCAGAAAATGGTCGTGGGAAGATAAATAAAACAATACATACAATAATGTATAGATAATAGAGTCAGTCTTACCATAGTGGAAGTATTAGGGAGTACCATGGGAACACATGAATGAAATCTACATATCTTACCTGTTTACACTACTCCTCTTACCACGTTATATACTGCCCATCCTAAGGGGAGAGGGGAAGCAGGGGAAGAGTTGACTGTAGATTTAAGTAATTATTAGTATAAAAAATTAGTGAATGTGCCAAATTTAGCTTTTTTTTTTTTAATTTTTTTTTCAACGTTTTTATTTATTTTTGGGACAGAGAGAGACAGAGCATGAACGGGGGAGGGGCAGAGAGAGAGGGAGACACAGAATCGGAAACAGGCTCCAGGCTCCGAGCCACCAGCCCAGAGCCCGACGCGGGCTCGAACTCACGGACCGCGAGATCGACCGCGAGATCGTGACCTGGCTGAAGTCGGACGCTTAACCGACTGCGCCACCCAGGCGCCCCCCAAATTTAGCTTTAATAACGTGGCTGTTACTAAAAAACATGTGGGTTTTTTTTATATGAAATTTATTGTCAAATTGGTTTCCATACAACACCCAGTGCTCATCCCAACAGGTGGAGGGTTTTGTTTGTTTTGTTTTGTTTTTTTTAACTTTTTTAATGTTTGTTTACTTTTGAGAGAGAAACAGAGCATGGGGTGGGGAGGGGCAGAGAGAGAGACACACGCACAGAATCCAAAGCAGGTTCCAGGCTCTGAGCTGTCAGCATAGAGCCCAACGTAGAACTTGAACTCACGAACTGTGAGATCATGACCTGAGCTGAAGTCAGAGGCTTAACCTGCTGAGCCACCCAGGCACCCCTGTTGTTGTTTTTCACTTCTGAGAATTTCCTCCCAATTTGATACAGCTCAGCTTAGGAAAGCAACATGGCAAAGTGTTGATTTCTTAATTTATTTTCTCAACAGAATTTGTTTTCTTCTGACTGGATCACTATCATAAAGTTACAACTGTGTCTCAAGATTTTAGATCAGCTCAAAAAAAGTTAGGTTTTTTAGGAGTGTTGGTTTGGTTTGGCTTTATTTGGGTGGAACCAGACAATAAAGAATATATACACTTGAATATAAAGAAGAATGTTTTTGTTTTCACTGTCTTAGTGTCAGGGGGTTCATATCCTGTAATGGGTCAGTTAACTTTATGTATTGAAAAACAACCAATTGTTACATAAGCAGACTTTCATAGGGCTGTTAACAAAGCAGATGTGAAATCTGGGGGCACCTACGGTAAATTCACCAAAGAAAGCAATGAAACTACTTATAGGGTATTTGAAAGACATTTAAGCTTTGTGAGTATATTTTTAGTGTTGGAAATATCCAAGTCTTAATCTGTCGTGCAACTTCTTTACCTAGTAGGCAGCCGTTACATTAGTCTGTGTCTCATCCTCGCTTCTGGTACCCCCTAATTTTACAGTCTCAAGGCCCAGCACATTGCCACTGGAAGATCTGTGTATCTCTGTGCACCTGTCTTACTCAGACCCTTATGGCCTCATTCCTGGATTACCATAGCTGCCTTCCTTCATTTCCATCTGTTTTTTTCCAGCTCATCCTGATTAACCTTCTTTAAATGCTACTCCTCCTCTTTTCAGAAAGCTTCACTGGTTCCATGTTTTCCACCACATTAAATCTAAGCTCTTCTGCTCGACTTTCAACGCCCTTGCTAATCTGTCCCACACTACTTATCCAGCTTCATTTCCTATGTTCTTCGCTCTTTCTGCTCTATTGAGGTCAGTCTGTCTCTGCAACACACCATAGTCCTCAGAGTCTGCGCCTCCTGTACTGTATCTACTTCACCCAAAAAGCCCTCCTTCTCTCTGCCTATTCAAATTTTACCTTTTCTTCAAGACCCTGTGTAAAGTTTCACTTCCTGTTTGAAGTAAACTCAATTTTGCTGCAGAATCCAGATTTTTAAGTTAGCAAACCAGTGAAAGAAAATGTGCATAGTATCTTAAATCATTCAGTTTTACCTTCACTAATGATGTAAACATTTTGAGTACAGGGACCACATCTTACACTTAAATATTACACGGTTCCTCGAAGAATTCTGAGGCACCTGACCTTGATGTGAAGGAAAAGAAAGTAAATCTGTTTCATCCTGCCTATCTAAAGTAAAGTCAACATTCCTAATATTGAAGAGACATGAATGTTTTTCCAATTTGGGTCAGGTCTGTCACCTCACTTAAAGAAAAATGTGAGGCAAATGAAGACAGTTTTATAACTGAATATAGATTGACATGTTTCCTTTATGAGAAACGGTGTGTGTGTGTGTGTGTGTGTGTGTGTGTGTATGATTTTATTTCCTTCATTAATAAATAGCCAGCTGCCCTTGGAGAGGTTTAGTTTTGATATTAACAACTTTGCATCCTGTCACTGTAGATTAAATATGATCAATAAGTTTTATGTAATCAAGAAGTATTCTTACCCAATTCGTTAAGTAACCTAAGTATAAATGCCTACTGTGTATAATGTTAGGCTCTGTAAAGGGATATTGAAGTTACTTATATATGATCCCTAACCTCAAAAACTGTTAAGGAATTCTATTAGGGAAAACAAAATATATACTCAAAGCTTAAACATAACAATACTTGTTACTTCATTTGGATGTCTGTTGTTTTAATTCTCAATGAGTCTCCTCTCTTTTGAAATATACATGCCTTCCTTGTATTGATGCCAAAGAGCATATAGGACAAACAAATGAAAAAAAAATTTTAAGCAAACTCCCATTGTTGTTTTTCCAGTTTTATTGAGGTATAATTGACCTGTAACATTCTATTAGTCCAAGGTGTACAGCATAATGATATGAGTTATGTATCTATTTTGAAATGATCACCACAATAAGTAACTGACACCATTCACCTCACATAAACTTTTTTTCCTTTGTGATGAGAACTTTTAAGATTTACTCTTAGCATCTTTCAAATATACAATATTATTAACTATAATCACCAGACTGTACATTACATCCCCAGAACATGTTTGTCTTATAAGTGTTTACCTTTGCACCACCTTCTCTCATTTTTCCCCATCCTCCACCACCTGCCTCTGGCCACCACCAATAAATTCTCTGTGTCTATGAGTTCACTTTTTTTTAGATTCCACATGTAAGTGAGATCATACAGTGTCTTTTTCTCTGGCTTATTTTACTTAGCATAATGCCCTAAAGGTTCATCCATGTTGTCACAGATGGCAGGATTTCCTTCTTTTTTAAGGCTGAATAATAATCCATTGTATACAGATACTGCATTTTCTTTATCCATTCATTCATTGATGAACCCTTGAATTATTTCCATGTCTTGGCTATTGTAAATAATGCTGCAATGAACATGAGAGTGCAGATATCTTTTCGAGGTAGTGATTTCATTTCCTTTGGATATGTATCCAGGAGTGGCATTGCTGGATCATATGGTACTCTATCTTTAATCTTTTGAGGAACCTACGTATTGTTTTCTATAGTGGCTGCACCAGTTTACCCTCCCACTATTTTTTGTACATGCCTTCCTTTGTATTGAGCATAAAGGACACCGAGATGTCAACTTTTAAAATACAGAATGTTTTACATTTGTGAAAGTATGGATACTTGGAAGTGTCTAGTCAGTGCTTTGGATTTTGTGCTGATGCTTGGTTTTGTATACTACCTTTTGTCGCAGAGATCATGGTTAAATAACTCTGTAAAGTACTATTAGTGTCCACAGGATAAGTGCTATAAGTCCAAGATGCCATCCACATATAACAAGAAAAGCTGCTTAGATAACATACCAATGATAAAAAGTTGAAATTATGGACTATTCAATACAGTTTAGGATTTTTAAAAATAATTTTAAGCATGCACAATAATAATATTTTTCATTT